TGCCGCTCGAGGGCGCCGGGGCCGCCGGCTTGCGCCGCCAGATCTGGAAATAGTTCTCGTGCAAGAAGAGGGACTTTTTGTCGGCCGGCCGGACGGTCAGGTCGCGCAGCTCAAACCACCGCCCGGAGGTGTCATCCACCAGGTGTAGGGTGTAGTGCCCATCGCGCGTGGTCTCCGACGAGAGGGACACCTCCCCGGAGGTGACCTTCTCCTGGAGGTCCTCCAGCGCGGCTGCGCCCTCGTACGACACGGAGCTCATCAGGGAATAGGTCACCTGCCCGTGCTTGGCACCCTCGACGACTGCAACCGCCGCAGGGCCCGCAGCGAAGCATGGGCATAAAAAAGAAGGATGAGAGAACGGTTCAGGCACAGAGAGGGAGGTGGGGGGGGGGGAAGAGGGAGGTTAGTTTGCGCCTGTGTGTGTGTGTGTGTGTGTGTGTGCGTGCATGTGTGCGTGTGTCTGATTGTGCGTGCATGCATGCGTGCACGCGCGCGTGGGAGCAGATCCACCAAACAAGCACATGGACATGCGCCACCAGCGCATGTGCAGGCACCGGGGCAGGGAAGGAACGACACCGGCCACATGGATGGTGGTGGGCATATGGCAAACGCACATGGGCTCAGGTCCAGATGGTCGGAGTCGAAGTTGACGACGGTCGAGTTGCGCTCCTCCAGCAGGAACTGGTTCTTGACGAAACGCCGGAAAATGAGGACCAAGTACTCCGGAGCCTCGAGGATGCGGAAACGCCGAAGGGTCTTGGTCCGGAGGTCGGCCACCGGGGTCCGGCCGTCGAAGCGCTGCAGCAGGACCGGCAGGGTAGTCTGCTGGAGGAGCGACCGGGCCCCGGTGTCGGTCTGATCCTCCTCCGGTGTAAAGAGCGACATGCTGGGCAGGTCCAGCGTCAGGAAGAAGAAGTTCGAGTCGGTGGTGGTGGCGGCGGCGGCAACCCCCGGGGCGGAGGGGCCACTCGCATGCTTGGACGCCCCCTTCTCCGAGGAGATGAGCGGCTCCGACTGAACGCGCACCCGGCCCTGGAAGGCCTTGGTGATGAGGGCTATCGAGAGGGGGATAGCAGGGGAGAGGGACAGCAGTTGAGGGTGGTCAGCGCCCCAAGCCCAAGCAAACGGGCAGGATCGATGGAAGATGGGAGACGGGGAGAGAAAGATCGGGGGAGGGAGAGAGAGAGAGAGAGAGAGAGAGAGAGAGAGATGGCGCCCATGTGGCAGACAGCAGCACACGTTGAGGCGCCACGGCATATGACAACACGCTGGGATGTCGGGACATGGGGCTGGGAACTGACGGGAAAACAGCACACACACACACACACACACACACACACAAACAGGGCGCAGATGGGGGATGGCGGATGAGCCGGTACGGCGGCAACGCACTCGAGGGATCGCCCTTGCGCGCGGCCTTCTGGAGATCCGCATGCATGCGATTCAGCAGCCAGCACAGCAGATCCACCGGGTCCGATTGGTGGGTAATGTTGAAGCGACGGCGGCTGGCCATGCTGACCGCCTCGATGAAGCTCTGTGGACTGGTGTGGCTCTTGAAAAGCCGCGGGTTCCACAGGCGCCGGGTCACCTCGCCGAAGGCCCGCAGCAAGCCGGACGACTCGGCCACCCGGGTGGTCTGCGACCCGGCGTCCGGGCCGCCAGCCAGCAGGAAGAAGTCCCGCAGGGGCGGCACGTGTGCCAGCATCTGGATCACCACATTCGCATAGTCATTGGTGTTGGTCATGTTGTTGAGGCCGATGAACCCGGGCATATACTCATGGCCGTAGAGGTCCTTGGCTGGGCGGCGCTGGCCGGTCGACTGGAGGGCGGCCACGTCCTCCGAGCGGAAGACCGGCCGCAGCTGGGACTTGATGTCGTCCAGCGAGGAGTCGATGATTTCATAATCATCCGGCAGGCAGTAGAACTGAACCCCGGTCCGGGGGGGGGGGGGGGGGGAGAGAGAGAGGCCAACACCAGGAATGAGGGTGGGTTCGAAATCCGGATGCCAAGGCACCGGGAAATGGGGACGGACAAAGGTCAGCTGCCGAAAGGCAGAGGGGGACATGGGGGGATATTGAGAGAAAGAAAGAGAGAGAGAGAGAGAGAGAGAGAGCAAGAGGGAGGGAGACAAAGGGACAGGAACAAGGAGGGAAAGGAAGGCAACCGGCGGCCGCACTTTTAGCGTCTCCAGGTGGAGAAAAACATGGTGGTTCTCGTGAATACTGTGAAGGTACGCGAAACTCGTCGGCGAGCGACCCTGGAAGAACTTGCCGCACACCAAACACGCATAGACATTCAGGTTGGCGTTGGACACCGAACAGACCTTGGCAAAGTCGAAGTCCAACTTCCGCCGGTCAATCGTGTCCAGGAAGGGGCAGCTGGTGGCGAGCTTGGCATCGCGGGCGCGCTTGGCCTCGCGCTGCGACAGCCCCGTCCCGGGGGCTTCGCCATCCGGGCGGGCGCGCTTCGCTTCAACCGGGACGGTAGATCCGGCTGGAGCAGTCATGACTCGGGGCGGCGAGGGGGGAAGAGCGTGGGGAAGGGGTGTGCGTGCCAGACGGAGGCACTAGACCGTAAGGGCCTGTGCGGAAGGAAGGAGGCGGTGGGGGAGGGCGAAGAGGTGAGCCGGGGTGGAATACTCTCGGCGCCCCCTGTGTCGCACCTCGATGGGGGTGGGCTTTTTGCCTCTCCCGCAGGGGGCAGAATCGGGGAAACCATCCTCCCCAGCGGCCGCCCAGATCTAGCGCAGACACCGGGGCCACCAGGACCCTGACCATCCCCATGTCCCAGCCCCACTTCCGGTGGCCGCGGAACCGGAGTCAGCGCAGCGCAAGAGGCGGCAGCTGGCGGGAGACGCCAACGGAAGGCCCAGCGGAAACGGCGGAACACACACCCGGCGGCGGGAAGCCGGGCTAACGCGCGATAGTCCTTTAGAATGGTGTTCCTGGGTCCCGAAACGAGACGTCGAAATTCGCCTCGCTGGTACCGTGACCGCGGCGCCCCTCCGCCGGCTGGACCGCGTGCGTGTGCGCCCGATCGTGGGGACCTGGCCGTGTGCAGGGCCCTTGACGCTGGCCGCACGGGGGCCGCTCTCCGCGGCGTGCTCTGCCCGCATGCGCACAGCACAGCCACACTTGGGCGCATGGTCTGGGCCTGCGGGGCTCCACATTGGGCGCCTCTCGGCTGGTCCACAACTCGCACGCGCACACACACACACACCCGTGCCCACGCTGCGCGGGGCCCTTCGCGCCCGCCGGCACGCTTGGCCTGGGAGCCACACCCCGGGCGAGCGAGGCAACGGGGGGGGGGTGGCGGGGGGGGGGGAACGGCGACCGGTGCCCCTGGCCGCCCACGACCTTTTGGCAACGCCATCCGCCCCCGGACACTGGGGGCGTGCGCGCGCGCGCACACACCCGGGCGTCTCGCCCCTCCCCCCTTTTCCTGCCCTCGGGGGGCAAGGGGGCGCGGGGATGGGGGCGCGGTCGACTCAAAGGACCCCGCCAGGATCGCGATCCCGGACCCACCCGCCGGAAATACGACGCCTCCCTCCCCCCGCCCCGCCGCCCCCTTCCCTCCCTTGTGGAACAATCCATTCCCTCCCCCCTCCACGAGCGTCCTCCCTCTCCTCGCCTCTCCCCCTCCCCTCCCCCCCCCCCTCCTCCCCTTCCCAGATGTCGTCGAAGAAGCGCTCGGCCCCCTCCGCCGTCGCTGTGGCCAAGCGGTCGTCTGCCGGCGGCAGCGGCGCATCCGCCAAGGCCACCGACCGCCCCATCGCCCCGAGCACCAAGCGGGCCAAGATCGTCCCCCCCTCGGAGTCCGAGGACTCTGGCAGCGATTCCGACGCCGGGGACTTCATCGACACCATGGACGACGACTCGGCCGGTGACGACTCGGATGGCGACGGCGACTCCGGCCCCTTCGCGCGGAACATCGGCGGCGATGTCCTCTCCATGCTGGCTGGTGGCAACGACGACGATGACGACGACGATGATGATGACGACGACAGCGATGATGAGGCCGGTCTCAAGAACACCCTCTACCGCCCGGCCACCAACGAGGAGCTGAACCAGATCCGCGAGACGGAGAATCTGTTCAAGTCCAACCTTTTCCGCCTGCAGGTGCGCCCGTCGCTGCCGGTGCTGGCCTTGCCCTGCGCTGTCCCCCCCCCCCCCCCCCCCGCCCCCCCTCTTCTCAGTCTCGCTGTGTGTATGTAAGGACACATACGCCCGCCTGGGTGCCCCTGCTAACATGCCCCCCTTTCCCGGCCACAGCTCGAGGAGCTCCTGAAGGAGTCCAAGGCCCCGGCGGACCTGAGCAAGCTCGAGGCCTGCCTGCGCCTCCTGAAGGAGACCATCCTGGCCCTGCCGGCGCGCCCCGCCACCAAGGTACGCCCTATGGGCTTTGCCTGCACACCGACAGGCACACCTGATGCTGCTGCATGGACAGACATGCGCGCGCACGCGCGCGTGCCCATGCCCTCGAGTGCCCTCTCCGCGCCCATTTGGCCCATGACCGTTCTCACCCGACGTGCTCTGCCTGTCTCTCTCTCTGTTCCCCCCCCCCCCCTGCTCCCCGGCGCATTTTGTAGGCCTCCCGCGCCTACCTCGCCCTCGAGCGGGCCGGTGTGCAGGTCCCCTTCCCGGCGGTGCCGAACTGCAACTACGATCTGGCCTTCCTGCCGCCGAAGACCATGAGCCTGGTCGGCGGGTACATCCCTGGCCTCGTGTCCCGGCCGAAGCTCGTCGCCGACGTCAACATCACCATGCCATCGGTATGTTTGCGCGCCGGGGGTGCCCCGCTCTGGTGGCCGCTTCCAGCCTGCCACCCAAGCCCGCCCCCCCCCCCCTCCCCCGCTCAATCGGGCAAGTCCACTCACCCTCCTCCCCCTTCCCCGCGGCCTCCTGTAGGAGCTCTTCTCCGCCACCCACTTCCACAAGCACATCTACCACCACAAGCGGGCCTACTACCTGGCCTGCCTGGCGGAGGGCATCCGCCAGGTTCCCGGACTGGAGAATGTGTCCTTTGACGTCCTGTCCGGCGACCTGCGCCGGCCGGTGCTGATCATCAAGTCGTCGACCACCAACCCGGCGGTCAACTTCCGCCGGACCGGCTTCACCATTCGCGTGCTGCTGTCCGTGGCGGCGGATGTCTTTGACTTGGATGCCCTGCTGCCGGATCGCAATGGCCAGCGGTCCGCCGACCCGGAGCTCCAGCAGGCCGGCTTCAAGAGCACGGCCGCCACCGCCGGCGACTCCTCCACCAGCCAAGCCTCGGCCCAGCCCTCGCCGCACTACAACACCGCCATCCTGGAGGACATCTTCATGAATGACAATCTGCACCTGCTGCACACGATGTCCACCGGCTGTGCGGGCTTCGCCGATGCGGTCATCCTGCTGAAGGTGTGGCTGCGCCAGCGCCAGCTCGACCGGCCTGATGGTCTGACCGGCTTCCAGATGTCCATGCTGCTGGCGTACCTGCTGGATGTGGGCCGCGTGCGCCGGGAGATGTCCTCGCTGCAGCTCTTCCAGATGACCCTGCAGTTTGTGGCCACCCACCAGTGGTACAACCAGGGCGACCTGCCGGCGTACCTGCGTGATGGGGAGGTCCCGCACGCGGCGCAGGAGGCCCTGGCCTTCCGCCCGGCCAATGCCGGGGCCGACACCCCGGCTGGCATTGACCCGGCCCTGGCCCGGCTCTTCCGCTCGCACTTCGAGCTGGTGCTGCTGGATCGCTCGGGGCGTCTGAACATCCTGTCCCGGACCTCCCTGGCCACCATGCTGGAGGTGGCCCATGAGGCGGCCATCTCCCTGAAGATGCTCAACTCCTCGGTCAACCAGTTTGCCTCGCTCTTCCTCACGCGTCTGGACGCATCGCTGCGTTATGACAACATGTTCCGGTGCGTCTTGCACAATGACCTCCCCTACGTGCTGTCCTTGGCCGACATTGAACTGGTGACTGACCTTCGCCTCAACTTTTGATCGTATGTGTGTGTGTGTGTGTGTGTGTGTGTGTGTGTGTGTGTGTGTGTGTATCTGTGCGTGTGTGTGTATCTGTGCGTGTATCTGTGCGTGTACCTGTTTGTGTATCTGTGCGTGTACCTGTGCGTGTGCGTGTACGTGTACTTGTGCGTGCACTTGTGCGTGTGCCTGTGCGTGCCTGTGCGTGCCCGCGCCAGACTTGCCGTCGGCACTGCCAGCGCCAAGAGCACTTGCTACCCGGATGCGGCGACCACCAGCGCCCGGCACCTGGCCGATGTCATGCGCCGCGCCCTCTACGACCGGTGCATCATCCTGTCCCTGCGCCTGGAACAAGTCCCCGCCTGGGAGGTGGACGCCGCGCCGCCGAGCGCCCTGCAGCCGCGCTCGCTGACCGGGGGCCTGCTGCTGGACCCGGCCTTTGCCTCGCGGCTGGTGTCGCGTGGTCCGTCGGCCGGGTTCCCGGACTTCGTGGAGCAGTTCCGCGCCCTGTGGGGTCCGCACTCGGAAATGCGCCGCTTCAAGGACGGGTCCATCATCCAGGCGGCCACCTTCCTGGTGCCGGAGGACAGCCGGCACCTGGTCGTGCAGCAGGCCGTCACGGCCCTGCTGTCGCATCACGAGGGGCTGACCTCGGCCGCGGCGCTGGCCGGGGCCGGGTTCACCTACTCGGCGGCCCGGGACACGACCATCCTGCGGCGCTGGCGCGACACGCCCGCCTCGGCGGCCGGGCCTCACAAGGACCTGGTCAATGCCTTCGACGCCCTGAGCCACGCCCTCAAGGGGATGGACCTGCCATTGGAGGTGTTCGGTGTCCGGAGCACTTCGGCCCTCTTCCGCGGGACGGCTCCCTTCCCGCCGGAGCCGCATGCGGCCCAGGTCCGGCTGCCGTCGCCGAAGACCAGTGCCGCCGGTTTGACCCCGGTCCAGTCGCTGGTGGACCCGGTGGAGACCATCATCCGGCTGGAGCCGTCGGCCCGCTGGCCCGAAGACCCGGTGGCCGTGGAGGTGACCAAGACCGCCTTCTACATGCGCATTGCCGAGACCCTGCCGGCTGGCCTGCGCGCGGTGGCCGTCACCGCCAGCTTTGTGGATGTCGATGTTGATGGGTTTGTCTTCCGCCTGCGCATTGACAGCACTTCCGAGCTGACGGCCATGCGCGCCCGCGTGCAGCACCTGGTCGCCCAGAAGAAGTCCCGCCAGGTGGCGTCCGATCCCCTGCCGACGGACGTCAGCGCCGAGACCCTGCAGGCGGCCATCCACTTCACCGAGCGGCACTTCCTCCACCAGCCGGCGCACCATGGGTTCATCAGCGCCCTGGCGGACAAGTTCCCGGCGTATCGCCGCGCGGTGCGTCTGGCCGCCCGGTGGGTGTCCTGCCAGCTGGCCAGCGACCAGCTTCCGCACGAAGTGGTCGAGCTGCTGATGGCGCATGTCTTCGTCCAGCCGCTGCCCTTCAGCCCGCCGGCATCGGCCATCGTGGCCCTGGCCCGGTTCTGGCGCCTGCTGGCCCGGCATGACTTCGCCAATGAGCCGATCATCCTGCCGACCCTGGAGCAAATCGACCACGCGCACCAGTACTCGGCCGATGCGCAGCTGCGTATTGAGATCGCCGCCCAGTCGGCGGGCGGTGCCACTGCCTTTGCCCGCACGCGCGATCTCGTCGTGCCGGTCGTCGACGCCACCACGACGGATGCCTACTCCAAGAGTGCGTGCTTTCCCGGGGAGGGGGGAGGGGGGGGGGTCCCTGCCTTGCCGATCTCGTTGCCCTTTGAGCCGCCATTTGCATCCTGCCTCCTCCCTGCCCCATCAGTGGGAGTGTGTGCGACAGCGCGCGCCCCCATGACGCTGACACCTTTGCAACTGCGGGGGTATGCCCCCTCTGTCCATCTTTCTCCCCTCCCTCCCCCGCTGCTTGGCATGGGCCACAGCCTTCGCGGAGATCCGCGGTGCCGACCTCCAGGGCCCGGCTGTGGTGATTTTCTCCTCGTACGACCCGTCCGGGCAGATGTGGACCGCGGCCGGGGCCTCGGCCAGTGGGCGTGTGATCCATGCGCGCCTGGCCCGGCTGGCGGCCAGCTCGCTGTCGGCCCTGTCCTCCGAGTCGACCGGGCTGGTGAGCAAGCAGTTCGACCTGCGCGGGCTCTTCCGCCCGGCGCTGGATGTCTTCGACCTGGTCATCCACCTGAACTGGCATGCGTCGGCCACCGTGCGCCAGAGCCTGGACGTCAAGCAGTGGCTCCCGTCCGACACCTCGCGCGTCACCTACAAGCCGGGCACGGTGGTTGGCTCGGGCAATGAGGACCTGGTTGCCTTTGACCCGGTGTTTGCCTTTGTCAAGGAGCTGGAGGTACGTACCGGAAGGGCACCGAGCGCTGGGACACCGGGGAGCGCCCATGTGCCTCGCATGTCTGCATGCCCGCTGGCAGAGAACACCCTCCCGTGCTGCCGCAAGGAAGCGCCCACCGTGCACTGACCCCCCTGCCAACACACACACACACACACACACACACACACACACACGATGCGACCCGGCCCGAAGCTTCTGTATGGCAAGCTGGCCCTCTTCCTGTACGATCGCCATGGTGGCCAGCAGATCGGTGTGGTCCTGCGCCCGAATGTCCACGCCGCGCGCCATGCATCCGTCCTCAACATGTTTGTCTCCACTCCGGCGTCGGCCACTCGCACGGAGCTGACCGCCGACCTGCACAGCCTGGTCGGGTCGATTGGCGTCCTGGGCGCCGGCATGATCAAGCGCATGACCGGGCCCCTGGCCAAGGCTGCCGGCCTTGAGTGAAAGGGGCGGCACGACCGTGTGCGTACGCATGCGCGCCCCTCCCCCTCCCCCCCCCCCCCCCCCCAGTCACCGTGGAGATCTCGGGGTGGGCCTGGGTGTGTGGGGGGGGGGGGGAAGACAAGACAATAATTCACCATCATATTTATTCCTCGCATCCTGAGAACCAGCCCTCTTTTTTTTTCACTCGTCGCCTTTCAACTTGCTGCGCATGATCCGACGCGTGTGCGCGTGTATGCGCCCCCCCACCGGCGGCCGGGTGCCGCCCCGCCGCGCCGCCCCCCCCTCTTGGAGGTGGTGCACAATGCTGCAAAAAGGCAGCGGGGCGGGGGTACAGTGGGGCAGTAAGGGGGGCATGATCAAGCGCATGACCGCTCAACGGGCCAGCCCCGTTGGCCTTGAGTGAAAAATCTTGCGCGCCCGCGCCAGTGCACACCCGCCCCCCTCCCCCTCCCCCCCCCCCCCCCCATCCCGTGGTGGGCTGGTGCGAAGAGAGGGGCGGGAGCGCTGCAAGGGGAAATGGGTGACATAGAGAGAGAGACGCGCCACGCCGTGCGCCCAGCACCCCTCCCCGTTTCTTGTCTCCGATGCCCGGCGTGGGAGACCAGCACAAGCCTCGCCCCCCCCCCCCCCAGCATACGGGGGCTGAAACAACGAATAAATCCCTCCTTGCGATAGGCGCGTTGCTGTGTCAAGAGCAGAGGGGGCGGAGACAGAGACAGGCAGATGGGCGGGGTCTGAGGAAGGTGTGGAGAGAACCGCAGCATCGCCCGGAGGCGGGGTGGCCCCCGGGGGAAAAGGGCGTGGCAATACACCCGCCCAATGCGACACACACACACACACACACACACACACACACACACACACACACGCACACACGCGGGCCGCGCTGTCCGCCCGCCCGGGGAGAGGGGCCAGCGCGCGCGGCACCGGGGTGGGGCGGGGGGGGCCAGCACACGCGGGAAACCCAGGCGCCATGTGGCCGAAAGAAAAAAATAACCACCCCACAGCCCCTCCCCTGGTCCTGGGCTGGACGCCGGTCCGGCGGGCGGGCATGCAACACGCAAGGCCGTCCCTCGGAAATGCCTGTCCCACCCCGCCCACGCCCCCCCCCTCGGCGGCAAAGGAAAAGAAACCCCCCCCCACGGCTGCTCGGACTTGCCCCTCGCCCACGCCCTTCGAGTGGGCGCGCACCTTGAGGAGCCGCAGACGGTGGAAGGGACGAGAGAGAGAGAGATGGGGGGAGAAACGCGGAGCCACAGGGCACACAGACGCAGACACAGGCACGCGCGCGGGAGGGGGAGGGAGAGAGCGAGAGAGAAGAGGGGGAGAAGAGGGACACAGCAAAAAAGAACACCACACAAAAGGGGAAGCGGAGGGGGAGACAAGATGCCGGGGTTGGCAAAGTGTATTTCCACAGTCAGAGCGCGATGCTCTCCTCTCTCTCGTGCGAGACGGCAGCCAACGACAAGGACAGGAGTGATTTAGTTCTTGCGGAGGACGGCGTTGGCAACGTTGTCGAGCTGGGAGGTACCCTTGGCGGAGACGACACGGGTGCCACTGTGGGGGCGCGCGCGCGGAGGGGAAGGAGGAGAGACGCGGGGCAGGGACACACGGAAGAGGGGGTCAGAAGGGGAGAGGGGCGCGCACAAGACGTGGCTGATTGACAGGGGGAGAAAGGAGGAAGAGGAAGGCGCGCCCGCCCTGGCACTTGGCCGTCGGCAGGGCGGAGGGGAGAGAGAGAGAGAGAGAGAAAACACGCGGGGAAAGGGGGACGTACTCGGCGCGAGCCTCAACGATGTTGAGGGCAACGAGGGCCTTGAGGGAGGCGCGGATGACGGCACCAGAGGCGTCGACGCGGATGTCGCGACGGGCACCACGGCGCTTCTTGCCGCCGTAGATGGACTTGAGGGAGCCGACACCGATGGTGTGGTTGAGGTAGAGCTGGCGGGCGATGGCAGCTGTGAAGGGGGAGAGGAGGGTCGGCGTCAGAGGCAAGCAGCGGGCGAGGGGGGGGGACACGCGGCGGGCGGTGAGAGGGAGGAGCGGCGCCGCCGAAGGGGGGGGAGAGAGAGAGTACGCACCAGTGCGGATGAAGAACCAGTCGGGGTTGGTCGGGGCGAGCTCCTTGTTGTTGCCGGTCTTGACGATGTCGACCCACTCGGGGACGGCAACCTGGCCGGTCTTCTTGAGGTGGGCAGCGAGGGCGTGGATGAACTCCTGGGCGGGGACGTCACGGACAGTCATCTGAGAGGGAGGGAGCGCGCGCGCGAGAGGGAGAGAGAGGAGGAAGGAGGAGAGGAACGATGGCAAAGGGCGTCAGAGATGAGTCGGGGTCGCGCATGCGCGATGTAAAAGGGGGAGATATGTCGGGGGGCAGAGAGGTGAGGAGAATGAGGGGTCGACCACAGCACTGGCTCCGGACTTCTGGGCAACGACGACAGGCCACGGCATGCACGCTCACAAGGGCCGACACAGGCAGGGGAGGAAAGCATGCGCAGGTGCGGGAGCGCGGGAGCACAAACAAGGCAGCCCTGGGGTCGGAATGATCTCGCAGATGGAGAGTGCATCCACACACACACACATGCACTCGGTATGAGCGCGCGCCGGGAACTGCGCCGAGGCCAATGAAGGGGAGGAGTGTGGCTGCCCTCGTCCCCCTCCCGGAGGGGGGGTGATGAGGGAAATGCGCCGCGGCCAAGGGCGCAGGTGGAGGGGAGAGGAGATGCTGTGTCGCAAGACCACAGGCCCGGGGAGCCGCTCGATGAAAAAAGGGGGAGACCCTGGCAGGGATGGGAGCCTCCTCCTCCTCTGGCAGGAGGGGGGTCCCCCTGGGAGGACGAAGCACACCACACGGGGAGGGGGGGACATGCGGGCCCACACACGAGGGAGGGGATCGAACAGCGACACCGGGCCGGGGGGCAGGCAGACATGCACACGGATGGGGGGGGAGAGAGAGAGAGCCGGCCAAGGCGCGGAGCAGCTCCCAGCCCCGCCGGAGGGGGAGAGAGAAGGAGGGAGAGAGAGAACAGGCGCGAGGAGGGGCGGCGACGGGAGAGACGCCCACTCGCTCGCAGAGGCGAGAGGAGAAGAAGAAGGCAGGGGGAGGGGCCCGAGAGGAGGAGGGGGGAACGCCCGGCCGGCGGGCGCGCGCGCGCGGCCGACAACCGGAAGAAAGGAACGAGGAGACAGGGGAGGGGGAGAGGAGCAAAAAGAGGCGTACTTTCAGTGGGTATGATGATGTCTGGGGGAAAAACAGAAATCAAAAACCGAGAGAGACCGACCCCTTCGACGCAGGCGTCCGGCATACCTTCTCTTTAGAGTTCTCCCGCACATGCAAGCCGGCCCCGGGCCAGTCCACGCGCGGGCCCTCGGTCCGCACACACATACACACACACACACGCACACAATGTGCGCCCGTCCGCCCTGGTGCCGGGCGGGGGCGGGCAGGGGGGGGCAGGGGGGGGGGGGGGG